ATACATTGACCAATCCCCTTTTTCCAATTCTTTTCCAGAACACTGTCAAATTGGGCGCACTGACAGGAGAGCGGCCTTCTGATTGGGTCATCGCTTAGCGGGTGGACGCGCTTGTCCCATGGATTCACATTGCACTAGCCTCATTCCCTTTTTATTTTTTTTCAACGTTTCTGGGGCCCAACGGAATTTTAGTCCATTGAAATTTTTTTGGTAGGTGATACAATTAATTACCAAAACAAGGCCACTTATTGAATCTGGTACTACCCCATGCGAGAATCTACGGCGATATCTATGGAAGCTATCAGAGCACTAGCGAGATGTTTCGGTGTTCGCTTTCGAGGCTATCCACAGCACGGGATGTCTTGTACACCCCTTTTTCGACCTTGGGAGTCCTGAATCTAGGGATCCACTAATAAGCAAAGATTGGGGGGAAAAAAGTTAATAAAAGGGCTTGGCAGGTATCACGTTGTCCTACTGTACTCCGTAAGTTGCAGCTACGGAGTACGGACGAAGTTTGTGACCGCCGGGGCCCTGGCGCCCCCGGCAGTCGAGTCCTCAACCTGGCTCTGTCAGTAGCAATAGTGCTGCCCTCATTTGTCAAAAACTTAAGCCCTTTTTGATCATCCGACATGACTTGCCTCAAAACTGCTAAATCGAGGTATCTCAGGACTTTTCAGGCATGCGCTCCATTGTTTACCAGGGGCAGGATCAGCACTTCGACCATTGGAGGACCGCTTTGGACCTCTATTTTAAGCTTATTTTTGTATAACGTTCTACAACTCCGGATTTCGTACCTACAAAATATATGCCCCTAATGTACACGCTCTCTCTGATTGATACTGGTCTTGGCTTGAATGAAGTTTGATGCCTGTTCAATCATCACGATAAACAGTGTCCTCTCATTTCCGCCAACACTTGCCCCAATCAGAAAGCTATCAAACACAACGTGTCATTTCACCCCAGTCTTCTTTCCATTGTTATTTTGAATGTTTTGTTTTGCGCAGTTCCAATATGTACTCACATGAAAGTGGGAAATATGAAGATTTCAGAATGTCCATATCGCGCATCAGCCCCGAGATCAGGCAACCGCTGGGGGTTTCTTTTTTAAGTCTTTCCGTATGGAGTAAACTCATTTAAAGTTAAGCACCTCGGTAGGCTGGAGTGTGGATGCACGTGACGGCATTAACACACCGCCCTCGTTTCTTCGGACACCAACACTCGGGATCACATGAAGAGCCTAAGATTTGCATGTGGTTGAATAATAATAGCAACCCACAACAACCTGAATTACATGTGCATTCGCCCGATATGGAATTCCATTTCGCTGTCCTAAATCCTTTGTACTGCTTACCCTATCTTTCGCCTTGTATCAACCTGCATTTCACCCCTGATTATGTGCTCAATCTGCCACACTTAATGATACTCGAGCTAATCGCAGATTCTAATATAGATATGACATTGACACCAGCTGCTTTTACACCTATTAAAAGAAAAATATGGAACTTACATTAGTATCGTCCTATTCGTTGTACAAGCCCTTCATTACGAAACTGGCTAGACTGCCTACCTTCAGTGGCCGTGTACTATATCAGACGTGAGTATCTTCGTACGTTTAAATCGTATTGGAAAACATTGGACGACATGTGGTAATAATTCACTATCTGACCCGTAGCCCGGGACACGGGAAGCTAAGCCCAAAAACCCATCTAACGGATTTATGCTGATACAAAGCGGGATGGGAATAATTATATAATATGACCAGCCATCCATCCATAGCGACTCAAGAGAGGTATCTCGAGGGAGCAAACATCTCATCTGAGGACAGGACAGCAAGAGCTTCAAACTTTGAAGAACTGTTTCAATCCACGACGAACCTATGAGACTTAGGTCCCAAAGGTCAAACATTCACTATATTTCCCGCTGGTGTCTGCCCATTGCTCTTCGCCTCACTATCAGAGCGACGGGGATTATCTGTTCCATCCATGGTATTGTTGAGCCCTTTGAATCTCACCCACAAAATGATCGTTTGGAGAGCCAGTGCAACTGCCGGTGCGCTCCAGATCCATAATAGCCAGGGATCCTTCGTGACTGGAATCAAAATTTCACCAAGTGCGCTCGAGAGCGCATTCATAAATAGGAAGACTGCCACAACCAGGCCTTTCATACTTGGAGGTGATCGCGCATATGCCAGTTCGTATGCGGTAACGTTGCAAAAGCACTCGCTCAATGCCCCAAGAACAATATTTGGAGCCTGCCACCAAATACTGATAGGAGCAACCGTGTCGCACGTTGATGCGTAATATCCGCATGGCGATAGCTTGTATACTTTCCATTGCACTATAGTCCCTACAATGCCGGAAATCATCGCCAAGAAGAATCCAAACGTGAGGCGGGTGATGGGGCCCACATGGATTCTATGACGGCGCAGAGTCGGGTAAACCACGAAGGTCAAGAACGGGATTGCGACAATGATCGTCAGTGGGCTGAAGTTACTCAGAACATCATTAGGGACCCCGTTTGTGATCATGGCTGCGCCTTGGTTTGTTACAACCGAGCCAATACCGCCGACGTTGAGGTTCCAGATGGGGAAAAACAAAAACACATCGCATGCGCCTATTTTCAAAAAAATTACGTCAGGACGGTATCAGAAGTGAAACCACACACCGCTGCAATAGATGTGTGTGTGTGAACTCAAAGGGGCGAACGAGCAGAGTATGACTTGATAGACTAACCGAGAGTCCTTGTAACATCATTCACCGCATCCCTTGTCCAGTCCACTGTGATGCCCTTACTGCGCAGGGTATCAGGGTCTGCAGCATCCCAGAAGTTCGTACGCCATACTCGAAACTTGTTCTGTTTGAGTGCGATCGTTGTGATTTTCAACGCTCGTGTGAGCTCAGATCCCCCACTGGGTGGCTCCTTGTATATTCTATTGCGAACCGTTAGGAGTAGAATTGGGAGTAGCAAATAAATGATTCCCGTCAACAGAAATGACAGCCAGAATCCAACATACTTCTCAGCATATGTAGTAGCGAGCATAAAGAGAGCACCGATGTTAATAAAACCATAAAAAACAAGCATGGTCTTTGTGCTGGTGGCATCTGGATCGACGATGACCTTTTCACCGGACTTAAGCTGCTTCGTATAGGACTTCTTCTGGTGAATTTGGTCCAGGATCAAGGGAGAAACGTTTGGTTTAAAGATTCCAGCACCAGCAGCCAATATCAGGAGGCCGAGAATGAAGGGGGGAGCAGCATTGGATGAGCCCTTCTGAAGGACAGCGGGAATAGCACCGATAATTTGGATTATATGGGCGACGCCACAAATGACCACACCGACCATGATCGCCTTGTATCGGCCCACATGGACATCTGCCCACCAGCCGCCAAGTATTGGAATCACATATGCCAAGAAGACAAACAACAATGTCAATGCAGAGCTGGCTTGAAGCCCCATGCCCAAAGCCCCGGCAGTTTGTTGAGTTCCGCGGGGCGTAGCACCAGCTCCATTGCCGCCTACAAATATATGGTTAACTGCGAGCAAACACCATATCCAAAACATAACCACGCACCTTCGGGAAGTGGAAATTGTATAAAGTTGGAAAAGACTGTCTTGGACCCATAGTAGGATGCACGTTCGGCGAATTCAACCAAACATAGTGAGAAGGAGACAAGAGGCAGTGTCCCTGCGACTCGGCGCAACGTCTGACTCTCGGCCTCTGTGGGAAGAGGGAACTCGTCAATTTGTGCATTCGTATTGATTTCCGTTATCGCGCTTTGAAACTTTTCCACATCCCCAGGTGGTGGGCTGGTTCCCTCAGTCGATTCTGGGCGGGCTAGACGAGCTTCGGTCATGGCTACTCATCAGTGTGTTACTCTAGTGAATAACCGAATGTTTATGTTATGCCAGATATTGTTCGCTTGTGGGACCCGAAAGGGATAACAGACACCTTCGCAGAAGCAAGGGTTGAAGATGCCGAACAGTGTCTCGCCACGGTAATAATCTTTCTTGGCTAGGTTGGAGAAACATAGAAAAGAAGTATTACTGTGATGGTATGTAGCCTTAAAACCCGCGAGATAGGTAGGTTATAACTGAATGTCGTAGTGTTATGGTGTTGACATATTATATTCACACTGACGTTGTACAGACCGAGATGGCGAATATCACTCACAATGTGACGCGAGAAGTCGGGGTATTACAATCCACCAATTGCTTGTGAACCACCATTGCCTGTTATTAAGATCGCCATATTAGGCTTCAGCTCGCAATCACCATGTCTACAGCCAACCGACGGGAATCGAACTGGATTCAAAGAAGGCGCTCCAGGGCTGACCAGTACGGTTATCCATACAACGTGCTGCTTTACGAGACAAGCACCACCCGCAATCCACGCGTCAAGGGCATCAGACGGCCAGGAATACCACACACGTACACGTGACCTGTAGGGAAAAGTCAACATTTCCTATTCTTTCCCCCAAAAACAGAGAGTCCAGACTTGGTTCTTTTATCCGATTTATCCATAGAGCTCTATCATCTGCAAAATGGGTTCGGAAAATGGAGACTCCGTTGAACAAATCGCTATTCTCACACCACGATTGATTATTATTCCCACCCCAACAGCAATCTCCTTCAACCCATACCGGGCGCTTTATTCCGACCTACATGCAACTGTGGATTTTTGTCAAATGGGTTTCGGGCATCACTTTCCAGCCAGGGCATGGAGCGATGAGGAGACGTGTGATGTGATCCAGGCGCGGGATATTGAACGTTGTTGGCAAAGGCGCGGGTTGGGTGATTTTGCTGTGGGGTTGCGCGGACCATCCACATTCGAGCCTGACAATCACTCCAAGCAAAAAGGTGATATGACTATACTCAAAGGCAATGACTATATCCGAGTTGCGGGCCTCAACAATGTCCATCTCGCTTCCTGCGAATGGGTGGGTTATGCAGGTCTCCGTGATGCGACAACAACTTCGATGCCGCCAAGAGAGCCTGGAGATCCTGTGTTGCCATCATGGGTCGAAATGATTGAGCTGCGCTACGGTGTCTCGCCGAAATTCTGGGGGCAAGGCATTGCACAGGAAGCATCGAAGGCCATTATGCAGTGGTCTATCGATGAAAGAGGGGTCAAAAGATTCATCGCCGAGACAGAGAGAGAAAACAGCAGAAGTGCGAAGCTGTTACAAAAGCTTGGCTTTACGCTCAGTGGCACGAACTATTGGAAAGAACCAAGTGAGCTGGAATGGGAGTGCGCTGCTAAATGAATCTTGAGACATCTCGTGTTCGTAGCGGTGCAACTTCCCCTACATATTCGCAATGCAGTCCCGTTGTTTAGAAATCTGCCTTCGGTGTGGATTTTGCCCAACGTCGACTGTACACCGAAAGATACCCATGTCACCAGCATAGCGGATTTTGATTAGATCGACAATATAACCATCTCAAACTCAAATTGCGTCAGCAGCCTAAATAAATTTTGCAGGTTATTTGCAATGAACAGTCACCATACAGCTGCTGTCAAGCAGTACTGACCCATCACGTCCTTAGCTGCAATTCCGACAAGGTGGAGTACTTTGACATCATCGCTTTTGTATACTGTCGCGTTAATTGATAAGAATACAGCTCCGATTTAAAAGAGGCCCCCATCCTATTGACGACATTTCTCGGACAGCAGGATAATTTTGAGATATATTCTTCTCCCTCCAGAAAAGAAATCTCCAAGAAACGACTTCTTGTTATGGCGCCCCGGTATCAAAGCGTTGCTGTAATCGGCGCTGGCCCATCTGGCATTTCTGCCGTCAAAGCCTTGCAAGAAGAAAAGATTTTCCAGACCATACGTCTATTTGAGCGACGGGGTCACATTGGAGGAATCTGGCAATACGATGTGATTCCAGATCGGTTTCCATCCCAAGAGGCTTCCAGTCAACAAGATCACGAAATCCCAAGTCGCCTTCCACTGCTCAAATCTCCTTCTCCTGAAGATGTAACGTCTCGCACAGGCATTTACGAGGGCCTTGACAGCAATGTGGGCGCTAAAGTCATGGCTTTCACGCACACTGCCTTTCCCGAGATAAATTCGGCATCGTCGACCCGACACTTAGGACGGTCCAACCCGACCCGGCCATTTCGGGTGGTGAGAAAATACTTGGAAGACGTATTCCAAGACCACCTTCATCTTGCCTCGCTCAATACAACAGTCGAAAGGGTTGAAAAGCGACACCAAAAATGGACATTATCACTTCGTCAGTCCGGGTACGGGGATGGTAAAACCCCCAAGGACTATTGGTGGGAAGAGCAATTCGATGCTGTGATTGTTGCATCGGGGCATTACAGCGTGCCTTTTGTTCCTTTTATTCCGGGGCTAGGTGATGCCTTCGCGCGCTATCCGACCGTATTCGAACATTCAAAGGCGTTCCGAAATGCAGACGACTATGTGGACAAGCGTGTGATTGTTGTTGGAGGCAGTGTCTCGTCAGCAGATCTTGTTGCAGATTTACATGCCATTGTGAAAGGCCCACTAGAGCTATCCCAGAGAGGGAAGAATGAGGCTCTCCAGTCCGCATGGGATCTACCTAATGTCAATGTTAGGCCAACGATCAAAGACATCCAAGCAACAGAGAAAGGGATAAGGGTCGTGTTCTCCGATAACAGCCTTCTGGAGGGCGTGGACAAGATCATTTTCGCTACTGGGTACAAGTTGTCCTATCCATTCCTAGTCCCAAACCCCGTGACCCCCAACAACCGGTTAGCAGGGTTTTACCAGCATATTTTCAAGATTGGGGATCCATCTCTGGCTCTAGTCGGTCAGGTCCGCGCTGCGATCAGCTTCCGGGTTTATGAATACCAGGCCGTTGCCGTTGCTCGATATTTTGCCGGAAGAAATGCGGCGTCCTTGCCAACGCCACAAGAGCAAGATCTTTGGGAGGTCCAAAGACTTCAATACAAAGGCCATACAGCCATGTTCCACGAAATAAAACCTGACTTTAAGGAATATTTCGATTTCCTGACAGATCTGGCTGGCCCCCCAGCACCGGGAACGGGCGGCTATCCACTTCCCCCTTGGGATGATCGATGGGCAGAACAAGGATTCGAGATTCTCCAGCGAAAGGATAAGTACTGGAAGTCATTACGAAGAGCAGCGGATGGATTAGGGGTAGTGACAGCTAAACTGTGAAGTCAACATTATCTGCCGTCCAAGGGAAGAAAAATGTATATATTGCAGCTTCAGGTCGCCCATTGTGAGAAGACCGAAGCTCTGCTGGACATCCTAGAACGATAATGCACGTGTAGGCTCGTTTCGAGTCGACTCCTTCCTCACTCGTTTCTCTTTCGATATTCTCTTCTTCGATCCCTGTCCCCATTTTCCACGGTGAGTAAACTACAACTTTTCCCTAATCATCTTCAGCATCACTTTCCGTATATTTGGAATTATCCAGTCCTGCTTAAAATTTCAAGGACTTTAACAAAGCCGATGTGACCCCAAGTTTTGGCAAAAGTATCCGGGCCGCTAAATTGCAGCTTGTCCGCGCTTTTACGATATCAATGTGGTAGAAGGCGACCCTGGCATCGAAGGCTTTCCGCCCCGCTGATTGGCCATATCAGGATTGCCAAGGCTCGGCCCCTGCTTTCCGCCAAGCCTATAATCTAGCCCTACAAGGCGCACCGTTGTTTTCACGAAGGCAAGAGTACCCTCTCCAATTGAGCTAGCAGACTTTCATCCTCTAGTGAAAATAGTTATGCTTTTATAACATCTCGGCATTGGCGGCGCCATACCTCGATCTCTCTCTTTGGTTTCTCTGCTCACACTATCCTTTGAAAATCTCCTCTGAGCTAATCGTCACGCGACCAACACTGACCCTCCTTCTACCCACTTGTCCTCTTGGGATGTTCAGCTCCCAGTGTCTCTTTTTGTGCTCAGTGGTGGCCACCTTCAGCGTGGCAAATTCGATGGGTTTGGGCTTTGGAGAGGTCGACGCCGTCTTCCCACGCAACGACACCTTTGAGCTTATGCCACTCATGCCCGTTGTCTTTGCCAGAGCCCCGCGGCTGTCAGTCAGGTCTATCTGATGCTGCAGTATATGGTGTCGTCGCTGGATACGCCACCGGAGGATAAGGCTCACTGGATGCAGCTCCCTGTCCGGAGTTTGCGAGCCAACGAGATGATCACGGCGTTCCTTCAAGATGGAATCGCCAATTGTCTAAACACTGAAAATAAATGTGAACTTGGTTGCGATATGATGGACGGACTGTTCCACGTCAGATGACGGTACCGCTTTCAACGGCAACCACACGGTCAATGAGGAGGACTTCCATAGGACAGATTGGTCCTATCACACCTTCGGCACCGTCATACTTGCGACTACTAAAGGGGGCCGTCAGCCCAATCTCACCATCGTCAGCCCTGGCGACGACTGTGGCGAGACCCAGGCCGTTAGCTGTCACGTTGCGAAGGCTTCGAACCTCCCTGGAGCATCGACGGACCTTCATATTGTGCTCTCCTCGCCAGTCCAGCACCCACCCGTGGTCCTTACAAGGCTAGCGTGGCACCTAAAGCTGCCTCGAGGATTTTATCGACCCTCACGCACCCGGAATGTTACGCAGCGACCCCTGCCGTCAGCTGCCCGCCCAAATCTGACGGAAGTGCCATGCATGGCCCGAGTTCTCAGGTTACATGGTGGACTGTCAGTTCTGCCTGGCTTATTTACAATATTTTCCGGTAGCTAGAGCCCTGTATATCGGTACTTTCGTTTACTTGATTGGAATTATGATCAAGCCAAGTTTGGGAACCCGCGCGTCTGGAGTGGATTCGACTGGTCCTACGATTATAAAGAACCTCCCTTATAAGTATTCATGCCGGGTATCGTTGAACCCTTTTTTGTCGAACTTGTAGCAAATTCCAAGCAACTCTTTCGGCCCTGTTCGGGAGGCCCACGGATCGACATATCAACCTGATTTCCGTAAGCACATGTAGGGCTCAAGAAGGCAGGCAATTCCGCTTAGGGCGTACACTACTTGGCAATATGGTGGGGCGGATATCTCAGTCATCAAGAGAAATAAATTTACATCTATTTTATGACACATAATTTAGACGGTGTAGTCTCATAGATCCTTGTGCATTGATCCACCGGCAACCGCTTGACAGATCTTGGCTCTATCAATATCCGGTTACATATGTACTACTTTGTCTACACAGTACGAGCTTGGTGTAAGGTACAGCCGGAACGTTCGGCGCCTTGGTGGGGATTCCGTACAAGTATGATCCGAGCACGGTGTACAAGAACCCGTGAAGCCCTGGTCGCACTGAATTGGATCGGAGAAACTGTCATATATATATGCGACTGCTGTCAAGACGCCTTTCCATTATGTAGTCTCTCGCTTTCTAACCGCGCTCTGAGACGATTAGATCTAATTTTAGAGGTGGTCTTACCCTAGCGGAAGTGAGCACTTAGTATACTAGCGATAATGTGAAAGATTTTGACTAGAAAAATCGCCAATGCAGAAAGGCCAAAACGCAGGTTAATTCAGGGGGTTCTCAATCTGTCTATGATGTAAAATTATGTTTTAACTGCAAATATGTTTTAACACGTGCGGCCCTAGACCCGAGTAAATTCTCTTTGCGCGCCGGGTACTCAGTTGGAAGAACAAAAGACTCATTGGAAACCACTCCACCCACGTCTGAAATGGAAAAGAAAGAACGGAAACCAGATATTAACGGATATGCCGGGTGTATACACCGTATAGATTCAACGATTTTCTTAGTTTGGAATGTCGCTTCCTTCAAGGAACCGGGTGGCGGGGATGAGCGGACTATGCCCATTATGGTACATACGATATTGCTCATCTTTCCCTTAAGTAGTGAATGCAGGATGCAATACTCTGTATAGAAAATAGCAGTTTCCATTTGTAGTCAGTAAGTGAAGCCACTATAGGTTCAATGCTACTCTGATAATCCTACTCCGTAGTATTGGCTCCGATCTGTCTTGGGCCCCATTTACCCCATAAGATCTGGGCCCAACCATCGACCAATCGCACATCAGGAATGTTTCATGCCTGTCGACCATGAAAATGGTTGGTCTTCGCTCAAGCGCTATTATAGCGTGGGATTGGACTATAACTTCATACAACAATATAAATTTGCTAAATATTCCCAGGGTTCCTGTGAGATAAACAAACATCCCTTCCCTCTACCATTTCCAAGTAATCCAGCATCATGCTCGGCTTTCTGCCTTACGGTGTACTAGCCATTGCTTCTGTTGCAGCAGCATGC